ACCCTGCCCCTGATTTTTTTTTTTCTTAAATGTGAAGTGAAGCATTCTTCAAAAGTGCAGTTGAAATGAAACCATGAAGCATGGGTAGATATGAGCCAACTGGAAGATTAGGACAAGATTGTTTGAGCTGAGGAACATTTGTGTAAAAGATAAGGAGGTGGGGAATCTGGGTGTCAGTAGCAGCCTGTGGCCACCATGGCAGAGACATTTGTGAAGGAGTGCATCAGATCAGGTCCGGGCTTGTCCACCATGCAGGATTTCAGCAGTATTCTAAACGCAGGGAGACCTCAGTCAGTCTTTTTCATATGCTCTAAGAAAACAGCACAGACTTGCAAACAGCAAGGATTTTCTCTTCTGGAGGCTGGAAAAGATACAATCAAAAAGCCTCAGAGTCCTGTGACAACTGGCTAGAGAGTGTTGCCTTCTTGCAACATACTCACAAGATTCTCTGAGGTGTTTGGATAAGGAAGAAACACACCCTTGTCATCTAGTCACCTCAGAAGTACCCACCACTTAATACTCTGCACCAGAGAGGTAGATTTCAGTAGATGAACTGTAAAGGGTCACATTTAGACTCTGAGGGATTTCACGCAGAGGAATAATGTAATCTGATGTTGTTTTTAAAAAAAGATTTATTTATTAATTGTGTACACAGTGTTCTGCCTACATATATGCCTACATGCCAGAAGATGGCACCAAGATCTCATTATAGATGGTTGTGAGCCACCATGTGGTTGCTGGAATTGAACTCAAGACTTCATCAAGAGCAGCCAGTGTTCTTAACCTCTGAGCCATCTCTTCAGCTCTGATACATATTTTTAAAAGATCAGTCTGAGTATTGCACTGTGAAAGACTGGGACAGGAAAATTAGGGCAGGGAAAGATGAGGAGGGCATTGCAAAGGGAGATAATAGAAGCCTGATCCAGTGTTGTTAATGAGCTTCAGATGGGAGGCTTATCACTGATGAACTTAGACCATCAACTATTCAAATGAAACTAATGACAAAGTTATGTCATATGAGTTTGTTGTGATGATAAAGTGTATATAATAGGATTGAATCCTTGCTCAACATACTATCAATGCTGAATACATGTTACCCAGTCCTTAAAATGACCAAAATAAATTGCTTTTCTTTATCTCTTTTTACTCTCATCTCCCTGAAAGTTGCCACCAGTCCTGAGAAGCCCCCATCTCTTACACATTCCCTTCCTTCTGGCCATCTTATCACAGACCTACTGGGAACCAGCCTTGTAAAAAAAAAATGCTGGTTATTGGTTTTCTCACTCAAATTATAATAATAGTGGATCAATATTTTTAAGAACTAGATCCACACCTCTAATTAAATTGAACAGGCACCAGATGGTACCTAAATAGTATTAAATTGATTTTATTTTGTTTTTTCCCTGAATTTAAACATTTAAGTCTTCTTTTCTGAGGGTGGCTTAATGAACCTTTCACATGATTCTTTAGTCCTCTGTGTTTAGTTTTATGGTAATATCAAACCTATTTTTGTTTTTTAATGTTATTTCCTCCAAAGCTATTATAATAATGTAAATATAAATTATATTGTCTTGATAAAGAAGACTGAACAGACGTGAGACAAGAAAGAAAAGTAATATTAAAATGAACTTGCAAAAAGGATGAAAGGAAAGTGTGTGGGCAGTAGGATGTAAAGGTTGTGGATATGGGAAAGTCAACAATAACTCTATTTCCCACCTCTATTGGCAAAGGTGAAATGTGTCTCACTGGTCATATCGAAGTCAGGGAAGGAATCTTTTTAGGATATAGAAAACAAGTTAATGAATTATGTTTTGAGGAAACAGTAGAATTTCCGAAGAGATGTATCCAGGGACATCTATCTGCAAGTGATTGGATGGGGTGCTATAGTTGGATGCACTAAATGAGCCCGTTGAGATAAGGTAGACCACTAGAGGAAAACTGTCCTGCAAGGCTAGTTATCCTGCAAGAAGATACATTCAATATCAGGTAGCATCAAGCACTGGAGAATGTTCTGAGGCAGATAAAGGAGAAAGAAGTAGAAATCCTATCTTGAACGATTGCTGATCAGAGTCAGTTATTCATTTTAAAGAGTTTTAAACAATTATCTAGACAATATTCAAGGGGCCACAGGGAATATGCATACAATACTAGGTGAGTCTGTCAACAAGACAACAGGAATCAAAGCACAACTGCAACCACACACATCTGTGCACACACATGTACACAGATGAGCATGTGCATACACATATATACCATACACAGACATGGTTAAGTGTATTCTAGCATAACACATGTGAAATACTAAAAATATTTAATGCCAAGAACTAATGTGCATTACTTGAAAACTGCAAAGTGGTAAGTCAGTATTATTAAGATACATATGTAATCTAAAATTTGAGAGAAGACAGAAAAGTGGGGAAGAGAAAGACAGAGTGCAGGGAAACTGATATTTCATGAACAGTATAACTAATAACGGACACTTCCTGGACCTCCAACATGTATCACACATCCTTGCTAAGCACAACACTGAAATTATTTCTTTTAATTTTTATATGGTGTATATATCAGTTTACAGTTAAAGAAACTGAAAGTCTGAGGCATTGAATACTTTAAGATCATCCAGCTTGGGGTTGGAGATGGTTCTGTAGTTAAAGCTGAATACTGCTTTTACAAGGACTCAAGTTTAATTCCCAGCACCCATTTTGGGATACCCACAACCACTCATACCTTCAGCTCTGAGAATCTGGCATCCTCTTCTTGACTCTGCAGGTACCTACACTCACACATGTACAAATCCAATGCAAACATGCACACATGCACTTAATTAAAAATAAATTAAGGGCTGAGGCTGGAGAACTGGCTCAGCAGTTAAGAGCTGGCTGCTCTTCCAGAGGTCCCGAGTTCGATTCCCAGCAACCACATGGTGACCCACAAACATCTATAAAGAGATCTGATTCCCTTTTCTGGCATGCATGTGTACATGCAGATAAAGCATTCAATATATAATTAAATAAAACTTTAAAAATAAAATAAATCTTTTAAAAAGGATCAACTTATTTATAATGATTAAAAGCCAAGGTTGATTCTGGATACATCTTATCATAACATTTGTGTTACTAAAAGTGTTACCTATGATTCTATAAAGAAAGAACATGAGAGAGGCTGCAGCAAGGTGTTTGTGTCCTGAATTACTTGTGTAACAAACACAGTTAAATTACAGTTGAGAAAAACATGCAGCTTCTCTGTGTGGACTTTGTCTAAGGTTTCCACATGTGTCCAAATCACCCTCACAACTTTTATCTGCATAAGAAGTGGAATAAAGCACTGCCTTACAGCCTGTGGGGCTCCCTAGCCTCTGAGAAGAGCTGGCTATTCCAGAACACATCTCCACCAATTCTCTTCCACTCACACCAAGTCAAGAGCATGGGTGTTGCAGCTGAAAGAAGGACCAAGCCCAGAGGACAAAGTTCCCTGGCAACTGCCCTGCTAGGTAGCAGGATTCCATTTCCACATCATCTACTGGAGCTCAGATGGAGCCCCTGCACTGTTTTCTAGTGACCCTGTAGAGAGGATGCCAAGTTCTGTCCAACCCAGAATACTTAGATTGCTTTGTTTTAGTTTTAGTTAGGGATCAAACCAGGGTCTCACACATGATTGACAAGCACTCTGTCATGGAACTGCATCCCAGTTCTGTTGATATTGTTTCCTTGTTTTCCTGTGGTGAAAATTAAATGCAGAATTTCACACATTCTAAGCAAGTCCTCTACCACTGAGGTCTATCTGCAGTCCCAGAGTTCTTCTTTAAAGTGGCATTAAGGATGGTTTCCATTTCCACATTATACTCATTCAAGCACATAGCAGACAGTGGGAAGTGTTTATGGCTCCTGGTACTGATTCTTAGATTCACCCACGTTGATCTTGCCCAAGGCATGAGCCTGCCACACTCTAAGGATACCCTCTAAGAATAGTTAGTTCCCAGGTCACAGCTTTGAAGGCATGTGTCTACCCTTTAAACAAAGGCCAATGAGAATGAATTGTTAGCAACTGGGAAAGTGAACGACTTCTTGGGGAAAGTCATAATCATTGAAGTTCATGTTAATGTAGGAAAAAAATATTGCTGAGAAGACAGCAGAGTTCAAATTTATAAAGGTATCATGGCCAAAGAGAAAAAAATTTAAACCTAAAGAGATGTAAGAATTACTACAATGAATGCAGACATGCACTAGTTCCCAGCCTATCATTAAAAAAATACTAATTTTATCTTCTGTGTATGAATGGTTGCCTACATGCATGTATGTGCACCATGTGCCTGGTGCCTGAGAAGGTCAGAAGAGGGAGTCTGATCTCCTGGAACTTGAGATACAGAAGGTTGTGAGTCATCAAGTGGGTGATATCAACTGGCAGAGGTGCAGGTCCTCTGCAGAGCAGGAAGTCTCTTAACTGATGAACCATGTCTCCATGAGATTGTGGGGGGAACAGGTTATGCATGTTTTGAGCTAATTCTTCAGACCCCAGACCATGATTTTCTGCAAAGAGTTTCTCCGTGACACTATGTGTGTGTGTGTGTGTGTGTGTGTGTGTGTGTGTGTGTGTGTGTAGCCACAATATGCATGTGGAGGCCAGAGGGCTACTTTGAGGAACTGGTTCTCTCCTCCCACCTTCGCATGAGTTCTGGGGATTGCAGTCAGATCATTAGACCTGTGTGACAAATGTTTTTACTCACTGACCCATCCAGTTTCCTTCCACTGGACAGTAATCACATCAATGCTGTAGCTTTTCAAGATATAGCTTTCTGTAGACATCATAAGCCTAGCAACTGGACAGCCAACTCTTTAGTGTCTTTGTCCTTTGTCCTAGACTCTTGATTCTATTGAAAATATTAACTGGTTGTTATCACAATCAATTTCAAGCTTTTGAAACTGGTATGTGTCTTTAAAATTATATTTTTATTTATTGTGTGTGTGTGTGTGTGTGTGTGTGTGTGTGTGTGTGTGTGTGCACATGCACACATGAATCATGGCAAACAGAGGTAACAGGACAACTTGCAGACTGGATTAGGTTCCCTCCTTTTACCATGTGAGTCATGGTGACAGAACTCAAGTCGTGAGGTATGGCAGCAGGTGACCTTACCATCCCACAAGTACCAACATAAAGCTTTTAACATTACAAAGCCCTGCAACTTGTGGCTTGTTCATGTTCCCATTTATTCCCATATTCAATGCATCAATTTCTTTTTAGAGGCCATCTATTTTCTTAGAGTCTAGAAGACAGTGGAAGTCTGGAAGCCATTTTTTAAAGCCATCAGCTCCTCCTCCATGTCTCCTCCTTCTAAGTAAGTCTGTGGAATGGAATTCCTTGACACAATGTGAGTTGATGTTTAGGCTTTTACTATGGCTGCATCTTACTACCAGCTACTCTATTATAGAGCATTGGTGATTCTACAGCTAATACGAAGGTCTGGACACAGCAATAAATACTGGCCTAATAAAAAACCTGTTAGGATTTTGGGTGCAAGAGCTGATGGTGGGTGATACAGAAACTGTTTATGGGCTGAAAGTTCCCATTTTATAATAACCTTTAGTTTCTACTTTTCCCATTAATAAATGGAACAGAGAGAATTACAGAGTAGTCTGATATTCACAATAATTGATAATCATATGTGCATCCAATTGTCAAAAGGCTTCTGAGAAAATCTAACTGGACAAAATTAACCTTTTAATTGTTGGATCGAAAATATGCTTTTGGAGTTATGAACCACTTCTGAGAGGGACAGGTTAAGGAAGGCTGGGCAGCATTACTTACTAACCAGAGTACTAGGTGTACTTAGATGTTTGGCAATTTACCCTGCTTTCATGGTACATGCATACATCTGCAGAATTCTAACCTAGGTGAAGAAAATTGACAAAGCCTTGTGTGCCTCTGGGAATCTGAGTAAGAGTTTTGCATTTGTGAGCAGTTTAGAAATGGTGACTCAGGGAGACTCTAGACAATAGAGTTTTCCCTCATCAGTTTTTTTTTTTAACTTGAAATATTTGCACATTCAACAGCAGTCAAGGTTTCCTTCTTCTCCTTATCCCCTCAGGCGTTTGGTCTACCAGCCCCTGCCAGGTTAGGATTTTGCAAACTTTGCCAAAATAGGACAATTTAATCACTTTGCTTTTTTTGTTTTTTTTTTTTTTGTTTGTTTGTATAAAGAAAGACAGGGACAAGAAATTATTTTCAGAAGGAAAAAAATTGCAGATTTCTAGTTTTATGTTTTTCTTTTTAAACAGGTACACCTAGTTGGCTAATGTGTCTCACACAGCTCAATCAGAACATTTGCATATAAAATCTTTTACTGTTTTCCTGACAGTGTTGAATATGAGGAGAGGTGTTTGCTGGCAGCTGGAGAAATTTTGAATCATAGGATGCAGGTAAGGTCTATACATCACCTAATTGCAGTCTATTACAGCACTGCCGTTAGCCTTCTACCCTACCGTGGGCAGATTTTCTCTGAATGATAGTGAGCAGACTCCAGACAGCTGCTGAGTTGCCTGAAGTATGGCACTATTTGAATATTGATGCACTTTGAGAGAATATAATGAATGAAATTGAGCTTTCTTTTCTCTAAATGCTTGCTGTGAGGCATAGGAAGCCATCTGCACACCTACAGCTATACCAGGCTTGCTACACTGTGCTGTTTCACTGTGGGGTCACAGTGGCCTTGGGATAAGGGCAAGCACTCTGCTGCTAGCCTTGTGACCTCTCCGCTCTTTTCACTTTCATCTCCACAGCTTGGTACTCCTTCCTGATGATTTTCTCTAGTGCTGATGAGGTGTTCCTCTTTATCTCTTCTCTTTCCTTCACTTGGACATCAGCAACTTGGCTTTAGAATTGAACTTGTTCCTTCTGTTGGTGGAGAACTGAACAGACAGAGAAACTTTGGAAGTAATTCACCCTCTTTTGAGTGATTTTTTTTCCTTTGAGACGGGGTCTCATATAGCCAAGGCTATCTTCCAGCTTGCTGTGCAGCCAATAATGAGTTGAACTTTTAATCCTCCACCCCTAACTCCCAAGTGCTGGGCTAGTGTCCCCAAGCTCAGTTCATCTGTTTCTGAGAACCAAACTCAGGGTTGCCTGGACCCTGTCTTTCCCAGAAGCACTTCCCAACAGTGTCTGTGTCCTTATTTGTAGTTTCCACTTTCAAGTTACATGGAGACTGGTTTCTAGATTCTTGATGCTTCTGTGTATGGCGGCAACAAGGAATTGTGCTCTTCAGTCAATGAGGTATCCACAGAAGATAGGGAAGAAATTTTACATTGGGAGGAAGATGCCAAACTTAATGATTTTCCTCAAGTAGAAATATGGTGAATATAGGAAAATCTCTGTATCATGATGCTTACGTTTTCCTTTATTCTAACTGCATTCATTAGACATTCTTCTACACTAGGCTCTAGGCTGAGTGATGGAACACCGTCAGGTTGTCTTTGTAGTTCTCAAGAAACATGCAAACTACTAATATTTTGTTTTATTATTCTTAAAGTTCATATTAATTCATTTGTTAAGAACCTAACTTAAACAGTTTTTGTTTTAAAATGCTTTAGAAATCTTTCAGATATTTCAAGAATCAGAAAAATTTAAAAATTCCATCAAAATACCATGATTTTTATATATGGGCATTACATATGTATCTTTTGAGGGTTTCTTGACATTTAAATAATATAGGGGATTAGTAATGAACATCATTTGAGAAAATAGGAAAGAAGGACATTGCACAACACTGAGAACATTAAATCATTTTACACTATTACTAAGAGGTAAGAAATGTTACCTTTAACTGAAAATGTTTAATTTATTTTAGCTGGTTTTTATGAGCAATGTCTAACTGTGGTTATAAAGGTAAGGCTGGGCAAGCAGTAACTTAATAATTGAACAATATAAAACTGTAATTGATATTCATAAAATATGATGTGTGTATGAGAGGGAAGTATCTATGAAGGAGATAAGATAAAACAGATTTCAAATATCTGACTTAAAACAAAATTTATCAGATAAAAATATGGAGTAAGATAAATCTTAGAACTTAGTTGCATAATTATTCTCTTTGTGAAACAGATTTATATCTAACAGATGTATCTAAGGAGATCTTTTGATGCTTTTGATGTTTTGGAGTTTAAATTTTTTAAACAAATAGCATATTTTCCTAATACAGCAAGGTGTGCCTTCCATCCCACTGGTAAAGAACACATCTCTGCCTAGATTGCCCTAAAATACCCTCCTAGAGGATGTCTTTGAGGCTCATTTTGTGATTTTTTTCTCCAATTTTATACTTGAAATCTGAACTTGAGTCACTCTAATTGACTTACATTCTTGTAAAATTTTTTCAGAATTAATTTTCTCAGCCATTTGCAACAGTCTGGTGTTCATCACTTGAAGGATACTATTGAAGGGGAACTTAATTGGATGAGATTTATTTCTCCCACACACACCATTACACATGCTATAGAAATGTGTGTACAGCTAAAGGAGAAATGGGGAGCAGGCTTTTCTTTCTTTGGTATAGCATTTAAGTAATATTATTACCTTATTAATCAGTACCCAAAATGACATGGAGCATAGTGCTTTGATTTTTCTGAATTCTAATTGAAACTGAAAATCAAGTAGTGGCTCTTTTGAATTGCTTTTCACTGATTTAGAACAAATGCAAATCTGTGTAGAATAAAATAAAATCTTCCTGAACAATCAATTCAGCACAATTATTTATGGAGAGTCAGGCTGCATCTATGAAGCCTCAGTGATCACTCTGAAGCTCTGGTGAGCCGATTATTCAAATTGGTGGTGAATTAAGATGGTCATCTTATCTATATGATTATTAGAATAATGTACATCAAGTCATAAAGTAGGTATATATTTGTATCCACACATACTCCTTTTTTAAATGGCCGTACATTTCTGCTGACATCTGGACTGCTACTTCTTTTGCCTTCACAAATGGATCTGTGATTTTCACAGACATCAGGACCCAGCATTCGGGTGAATGATAAGGACATGAGTCAGAAAGGTGGAGGAACAACTTCACACAGACTGAAGGGAAACTCGGAGGAAGAGAGCACAAACACATCTAATGCTGGAGGAGCTGAGCACAGTAATGACAGGAATACATGAGCATGAAAACACACAGGCAATCCACGGCAGAAAGAGAACCCACAGAGAAGAAAGATGTTACGTTAGCCAACACCTATGGCAATGGGTCACGACACAATGCTGAGATCAATGCAAAACTTTGAACTGACGTATTTTGGAAACTGAGTCCAAGAAACAGAAGGAATGGAAATGGGAGGGATAAAAGCCAGTTCATGGATCACATCAAACCTGTTCCTACGGGAGCTGCCAGAGATCAATTCTGTTCAGGAGCTTCAAAAACTCAAGAATGGGATTCACCACCTCCTAAACTCTGACTCAAGACTCCATTATGTTTGCGGGTTTTCACAAGCATCTGAACCCTAAGTGGAATTTGCTAATGCTCAAATAATTATAAAACTCTACAGCAGAACATGAAGGACATTCAATCCATACAATTTAACATGCAAGTATCACCATAGCAACTGAGGTCAAAAGATGGGCAGAAAGGGTCTGATCCAGAGCAGGTGAGTATCTAGAATGACCTGCTCCCTCAGACTACAGAGACCTACAAATTTTTCACATTGGACCCACCAAAGACCCGTCTCAATACTGGTTGTCTGTAGTATGCAAAACTGACTTATATAGTATTAGTCTCAGCTACTGCAACCTAACACATTTCAGTAGCTTATCTTCCTCCTCTAGCACCTATTCAGAATTTTCTTTGAGTTTTGGATTGCTTGGTTAATGAGAAAAAACTCATATTTTTTTCCCAAAAGGATATATCATTTAGTTGCTTACCCCTGTGGGGACATGGTTGTTGGCAATTCTCATTTACTTTTATCACTATGTGTAGATGCACCAAGACATGCTCTGCAGGCTTCTTCAATTTCAGAAGAATTCCTAGTAGCAAATGTCTGTTAGCAGTCCCAACTCTCAATACTAATCAGATTCAATTACTCTAGACAATGTGGTACAACCTGTTCTAACCCTTATGCTTTTAGTCAATTCCTCCTATATGTTCATTCATGAAGGGTGCTGGCAAGGTGACAGTCCACTGTCCGCTGCATCGACATGCATATCAAATTCATTTCTGAACCACTTGTGCGCTTTTTTATTTCATTATATGACAGAGACTATACTTTCCCTTCCATGAGGCCATACTGTGAGTTGCAAGCAGGGGAAGAGGGGATGTTTTACTGGTCCACCTAGTTTAAAAAAAAAAAGTGATTGGTCCCACTCCTTGCCTGAGCAGTACAGGAGAGTTGGCCCAGGTGGCTTGGATGCTGACAAACTCAACTACCACCCATGCCCAGATTCAGGGATTTGAGTTGGGCCACCCCAACATCTATGAGCTACTGGAGTGTGTGAAGGAGCTGGTCCTGTGGAACCATATCTGCAGGATCTCCATGTCTCAGGACAACAGCAGAATAAACAAGAGGAGTCTCTGTGAGGGTCCAGTGTTGATGGTGTAGAAGAAGCCAGAAGCCTTGAACCAGACCAATGACTCATTGCAATGAACACTTGCATGTAAAGCTGACTGGGGAAAAGGGTATACAATGTGACACTGTAGCTTCCAATGCCACTATGACAAATGAATATGTGATGGAGATTCAGGAAAGATAGAGGAGCAGACTGGTACATGCATGGCAGAACTGCAGAAGTTGAGTGAAAGTTGTGAGCTACAGTTGATAGAGGAGCAGGTCATATTCAGAAGGGGAAGTTACAAGGGTGGAAGGCAGATATGGAAGGACTGGGAAATGAGCAGGATTGAGGTTCATGATGTGAAATTCCCAAAGGATCCATAAAAAATTATGTTTTAAAAAATTGTGACTGGGCAGGGCAGTGGTGACCCATGCCTTTAATCCCAGCACTTGGGAGGCAGAGCCAGGTGGAACTCTGTGAGTTCCAGGCCAGCCTGGTCTACAGAGAGAGATCCAGGACAGGCACCAAAACTACACAGAGAAACCCTATCTTGAAAAAAAAAATTGTGACTGGTGTGGGAATCTAAACCACACTTTCATGACATTCAATGATGCCCTCCTAACCTACTAAACCAAACCCAAATTTTCCATTTTGGTCACAGTGACAGATTGTTATTGCACCTGGCCATCCTTCTTACTCAGTTGTTATGACAAAACCAACTTTTTAATAGGACACATTTGTTATATAGTAGCTTTTTATGATTTAATGCTTTTAATTAATCTACAAGTTTCACATATATGTATTTTTAACATTACATGTATAAAAAGCCATATTTAAATTTGACATGGTACAGATAAACATTTTTCTTTTTATTATTATTACTATTGATATCCCATGATCAAACACTCCTACTAGGGACCAGGCAGCCTGCTAGTAACATTTGTTTTCTATCATTTTCTTCCTTTTTCTCTGTCTTCCAGGCTGGCTTCAAACTTTCAGTCCTCACGCCTCAGCTTCCTGAGTGCCTGGATGACCTTTGCCCCATTTACCTTGTACAGATGCAGGGGTCAAGCACTGCTCTAAGAAATCAGCTCTGACCAGACATAAGATGTGTTTTTCACCTTGGTGTTGGAATTCCCAGTCTCAGAACTAAAGAAATGAACATATACAGTTTCTAAGCTGCTCAGTTTATGGTATATGTGATGATACATTAGTTACTTTTCTATGACTGTAAAACACCATGACCAAGACAATCTAGAAGGAAGTGTTTATTTGGGTTTTAGTTCTAGAGGGATAATTGTCCATCCCTGTCACAGGAAGAGGCAGGCATGGCAGCAGGCATGGTAGTTGGAACAGGAAGCTTACAGCTCACAATCTAGAACCATAACCAGGAAGCAGAGAGAGTGAATTGGAGTAGGGTTAGATCTTAGGCTCTCAAAGCCTCCCTACCAGTGACCTACTTAGTCCAGCAAGACCATACCTCCTAAACCTCCCTAAGCAGTTTCAACAACTGGAAATCAAGTGTTTAAAAGCATGAGCATATGGGGCTCATGGGGCATTATCATTCAAATCACTGCTTGTAGCAACATGAGTAGAACATGATAAACTTAAACTCCACAGTTCCTCCTGGATGATAAGTTCCATTTTGGTGGCGCTGGGAACTTGGAGGGTGGTAAGACAATGACAGAAACCCCACATTTCCTGTAACAATGATTGTCACTCCACAGGTCAGGGAAGCCTGCTGTTTTTGTGTCATGTTATAATTCTGAATCTTCATCAATTTGATAGTCTGAAGAATATCGCATTAATTTAAGATATTGATGAAAGCATAAATCAAGAAGCGAAAGTGTTGTGTAATATCTACTCACCAAAAACAGACCTGAGAGTAGTAGTATTACCTATTGGAGATTCAGGAACACTCAACGGCAATGAAGAGTGAGGGGTCAAATAGTCTGAGACATATTGTCACTTTCTCTCGGCAGTGACAGACGTAGACATATCAATTATACATTCAGGAAACGTGTGATCATAGAGTAAGCCCATGAACTCAGTGAATCCATTGTCAGAGATACTTGGGCCAGGTCTTTGTATAACCATTGACATCTTATATTTGAATCACCAAGTCAGTTTGGACTGTTTGACTTCTGATTGGAAGGTCAGCTGTAGCATCTAATAATATTGAAAAATATTAAAAGTTTCCTCGTTCTAGGTTAATGGCTGATAGTACCTTTGGCAAAAGATGAGGAAAATGATTCTTGTATTCTTTTTCAATAGTGCTGCAAGGTTATTCCTTAAGGGGGCCCTTCTTGAACCTCAGCAATGAGGTTAGTCAACTGACTAAGCCCTGTAAAATGGTGGTGTTCTGTCCTAAGATCTGACTCGAGGCAGCATTAGTAAGGACGATTCCCGTAGGTGGTGGGTTGGGCTGAGGGCAAGGGAGGATGAAGCGGTGGCTTTTGTAACAACAGAAGCACTTTACAGTACAAGGACGGTGGTGACTCTGAAGGCTGTGGGTCTGGTTGGCTTATATAAGTGCTTTTAGAGGCTTTGGAAGTAGGAAACAGAAAACCGGTTAAACAACTAAACAAAGAAAGACACATAAAGGAGACAATGGGCGACGGCTTACTGCCTGTGGAAGCTTGCTTATTCAGACCTGAACTTCCTAGCTGACCCTACAATAGCCCATGTGGTGTTAATATGCTAAAACTGCATAAATAAAAATACCGTAACAGAAATTATCGGCCGGTGTCCATAGTGCTTATCGCCACGTGGCACCGATCTGCTTTGGTAGCTATAGAAGAACGACTGTCATTACTGGTCTGTGGGCTCAGGTGTCATGTGTAGAGGTTGGAACTGCATCTCTGAAGTTAACTTAAGAACATTGTTCAACAGTTTATCAAATCAATAAAATGAAAATGAGTGATTTTGTGAAAAGCCATGGTTTAGCATCTCAGAATAAGAGTTAAGTGAAGAGATTAGATGAGTCTGTTCTTGGGCAACCACCTCTTGGTTTAGGTTTTCTGTGGCATATTTTTTAAAAGCACACTATTGCTGATTCAGTCTCAGAGTAAAGGGGATATCTCCCAATATTGGATGGTGGAATGCATGGAATTTATTGGTATTTTCTGTTCATGTTTGGGACTTGCCTAAATCTATCACCTACTTTAAAAAACAGAATCAACTTTGTTGATCACTAAAGAGAAGTATTCAGCTTCTAGAAGACCCCTTATCACACAGCACTCAGCTAACATCCAGTAGAGTGACTGTTGGCTAAGCCTCCCACCTTGGTATATCTGCCTCCACACCAGAAATGTAAGGAGTACCTAAAAGGCTTAATGTGCTCATATGTGAAGCTTCCTCCAGCTCTAACATTCAGGAATGCCATGATTCCATATCTAAGAGTTCATAGTATACACACCCTATAGAGATGACTTCTAAGCTTAGCCAGTGTGTCACAGAGCCCCCACCATATCTGTGAAATGGAAAGACAACAGCTCCCTTTGCAGGGTTCTCAAAAGTAAAGCATGAGTTCTTCTCCACTGGAGTCTTCTTGCTCCTAGATTTTATCTGAGCACCATATTACAGCCATTTCCTCTGAACGTTCTATCCCTTCACATCTAACTCACTAGTGATCATAAATCAGAATCCTGGTAGGGAATAAGCCATCCAGGCAGAATTGAATAGTTTCTGATTCTGCTGACAGTAATTTTAAATGACTCTCTCTGCCCTTGCCTTTGTGACAGTGTCCTCTCTGTGCAGAATTTTCTTCTTTAAATACTTCCCTAAAGTTTTAATTTGCTTCCTTCATTATGCTTTCTTACAGAAAAATTCTATGCTCAATATTGCTTTAGCAACAGTCCTCTGCTCTCACACCCTTAGAGCTGGGTCACCTGAGACCCCGCCAACACGGTCAGCTCTACTGTGTTGCCTGGGCAAGGTGCAAGGCCTGCTTTCCTGAGTGTTGTAACTAGTGAGGGGCAGTGCCAATTCTCCCACTCTCATGACCCCAGGACCAGCTATCCCACCTGTCAGAAGCAATGAGGGGCAGGGGATAAGGGAGGGCATCTCTCCTTTGCCTGCTCTACCATATGGTAGATGAGGGATGGGGCCAGATCTCCCGTGCATGTTCATGGGGCCAGGTCATCTGTGTGTAGATGTCATTCTAAGTGGTCTTATTAAATAAGAAACACAGAGCCAAATGAAGAGTTAAAAGCCCAGAGATCGAGCAGTAGCCAAGAGCTAAGACCACCTTATCTTACCACTCTCTGCTGTCCTTCCCCTGAGAGAGAGACCTTCTTCCTGTGTCCTGTCTTTTTTATAAAAAGATTTATTTATTTATTATGTATACAATGTTCTGCCTGCATGTATGTCTGCAGGCCAGAAGAGGGCACCAGATCTCATTACAGATGGTTGTGAGCCACCATGTGGTTGCTGGGAATTGAACTCAGGACCTCTGGAAGAGCAGTCCATGCTCTTAACCTCTGAGCCATCTCTCCAGCCCGTGTCCTATCTTTTTATTGTCTTTTCTGTTCTGCCTTCTCATTGGTTCTAAACCCAACCACACGACTTCCTCATCACTGCCTGTCTATACAGACCTCTAGGTCTCTATGGTTCATACTGAGATTAAAGGTTTGGGCCACCACTTGGCTGTGTTCTTAAACACACAGAGATTCTGCCTGCCATGTGATCGGATTAAGGGCATGTGCCACCACTGCCAGACTTCTGCTAAATGGCTTGCTCTTAGCTCTGATCTCCAGGCAACTTTATTAACATACAAATAAAATCACATTTCAGCACAAATAAAGTATCACCATATCTGTGCCCCTACCAACAGGGTCAGCTCTATTGTGCTGCCCAGGTGAGGTATAAGACCTACTCTCTCAAGTGCTGCAGCCAGTGAAGGGCAGGGTCAGCTCTCCTACCCCTGTGACCCCAGGACCAGAGCAGATGAGCTGATCCTGGCCACCCTCTCTCATCTGCCATGTGGTGGCATGGGCAGGAAAAGATGTCCTCTTCCCCCTTGCCCCTTGCCACCTGCGGCAGGCAGTAGAGCTGGCCCCAGGATCATGAGAGTGGGAGAGCTGGCCCTGCACCTCACCAGCTGCAGCACATAAGAGAGTAGACCCTGAACCTCACCTGGGCAGCACACTGCAGCTGACCCTGTTGGTGGGGACACAGATGAACTAGCCCTGGGGGCATGAGAGCAGGAAAACTGATCCTGCTCCTTGCTGCCTGCTGCAGTGGGTAAGCTTGCCAGCCATGGTAATGTGGAAGAGCTTGCCCTGGTTGTGATGATGAGGGATGGGGGAAAGCTGGCAGGCTGATGAACCCAGCTACCACACAGGTTCAGAACCAGGGCTATGAGTTGGCCCACCCCAACCATGAACTGCTGGAGATGTGAGGGGCTGGACCTGCAGATAAAAAGCTGCAGGATCTCCATGACACAAGGCAACAACAGGATATGCCAGCGGCCTCATACAAGACCATTGATTCATCTCAATGAACACTTACAAGTAAAGATTATGGACTAAAGTATATACTGTGTGACTCAAGGTGTCATACTACAGCTTCCATGCTGGACTTTTGTTTGTTTGTTTGTTTTTTGTTTTTTGTTTTTCTTTTAAATTTTATTTTATTCTGGGAGGCGTTGTTGGTTGTCTTTTACTCTTTTGCTCTTTTCTCTTTTGGGGGGCCTGCCACCCAACTCCCAAATAAATACGCATGGAGGATTCTCCTTAATTATAAATGCCTTGCCTAGCCTTGCCGGGCGGTGGTGGCGCATGCCTTTAATCCCAGCACTTGGGAGGCAGAGCCAGGTGGATCTCTGTGAGTTCGAGGCCAGCCTGGGCTACAAAACGAGTTCCAGGAAAGGCACAAAGCTACACAGAGAAACCCTGTCTCGAAAAACCAAAAAAAAAAAAAAAAAAAACATCCGTGATAAATGCCTAGCCTTAGCTTGAATTATTGCTAGCCAGCTTTTCTTAACTTTAAATTATCCTGTCTACCTTTTCCTCTGGGCTTTTACCTTTCCCTCAATTCTGTATATCTTACTTTCACACTTACTCTACGGCTGGCTGTGTGGCTGTGTGGCTGTGCGGCTGTGCGGCTGTGCGGCTGTGCGGCTGTGCGGCTGTGCGGCTGTGCGGCTGTGCGGCTGGGTGGCTGGGTGGCTGTGCGGCTGGGTGGCTGGGTGGCTGTGTGGCTGTGTGGCTGTGTGGCTGTGCGGCTGTGCGGCTGGGCGACTGTGTGACTGTGTGGCTGTGTGGCTGTGTGGCTGTGCGGCTGTGTGGCTGTGTGGCTGTGTGGCTGTGCGGCTGGGTGGCTGTGCGGCTGTGCGGCTGTGCGGCTGTGCGGCTGTGCGGCTGTGCGGCTGTGCGGCTGGGTGGCTGTGTGGCTGTGTGGCTGTGCGGCTGTGCGGCTGTGCGGCTGTGCGGCTGTGTGGCTGTGCGGCTGTGCGGCTGTGCGGCTGGGTGGCTGTGTGACTGTGCGGCTGTGCGGCTGTGCGGCTGTGCGGCTGTGCGGCTGTGCGGCTGGGTGGCTGGGTGGCTGGGTGGCTGTGTGGCTGGGTGGCTGTGTGGCTGTGTGGCTGTGTGGCTGTGCGGCTGTGTGGCTGTGTGGTTGGCCCCTGGCGTCCTCCTCTCATTGCTCTCTTGCTCCTTTTTCTCTCTTCTTTTCCTTCCAGATTTCTCCTTCTATTTATCCTCTCTGCCTGCCTGTCCCTCCTATCCTTTCTCCTGCCTTGCTATTGGCTGTTCAGCTCTTCATTAGACCATCAAGCATTTTAGACAGGCACAGTAACACAGCTTCACCAGAGTTAAACAAATGCAACACAAAAGAATGCAACACATCTTTGCATCATTAAACAAATGCTACACAGCATAAACAAATGTAACACACCTTACAATAATATTCCACAACATTTCCCCCCTTTTGTCTAAATAAAAATGAAAGGTCTTAACTTTAACAGGGTAAAACTACATACAACAAAAACAGTTACCAAGTAGGAATTACATTTACCGTATTTTGTCCATTTGTAGTTAGTATATTCAGAGAAAATAACGTATTATCTATCCTTTCTTAGTGAATCCAAAGTTTTACACCTAACTTACTTTCTATCATAACTAAGGAAAACTTCAACTATAACTATCTAGTCATCAGCTTCATCAAAGATGCAGAAGGATGTAATATTATCTAACAACAGAGGCATTTGGCTGCCTGGACAGTCACCCAAAGTTTCTCTGCAGTGTTGGGGCATCCATCTTCAGCTTATAGGCCCAGAGTATCTGGCAAACTTTTCAGTTTGAAATTTTCAGCAGGAAATTTGAAGGACTGTCTTGCCTTGTGAGAAGGGAGGTTTCAAAGCCACAGGGCGAATATGAAGGAACAGGATAATGAATAGGATCAGGATATACGTTGTGAAATCCACAAAGAATCAATTTTTAAAACAGACAAAAAAAAAAACAACAGACCTCTGGCCCCCTAGCAGAGCCCTGCTCAACTCCCTCCTTCCTATGGATATTTCTATGCCTGCATTCAGCCAATCCTCCAGCACCTACTGTCACTCACAAGTTCTGTTTCAGTAGGCCAGGGCATTTCACCTGCGGCACAGTCAGTTAATGCTAATGTACTTCAGATTTTGCAAGGGGCACAGTGTGAGCTTAGCACCACAAGTACCAAGATTTCTACCATCTCCCTGTCTTCCCAATCTATTGATTTTAACCATGGTTTTTTGATAGATGTGACTTAAAGTACCATGGCTCACTGTTACAAAGGTGAAGGCAATGTATTCTCAGATTTATTTCCTCATTAAGTGACAAAAAGGAGGCATTTCTAACCCAGAAAAGCTGGATCATGTCACTGGAGTGCACACCATACAATTGCTTTGGATCTTTGCCAATGCCTACCAAAGCTTTGTTCAAAGACAACCTCCTAAGTTCCAGAGGTGATTTTAAAAACCAGGCATTCAAAGCTTGATAATATCTGCCTTTGGATTTACATTTAGAGTTTTTGCTTTTACAATCAGCTGTTAATGAAATATGAAGTATTCTATTTTCTATTTAAGACATACTCAAATGAACAGATGAAAATAAACTCCATTTAAAAAGCATATTATATTCTAGGCCTGGAATTTCATTATGACATGAACACCTGCAAAATCAGAGTTTTGTTGCAGATGAAAAATTCTAAACTCATCTTCCAAAATAAGTTTCAAAGCCGTATCTGAGGGCTGGGGAGGTGGTTGATTTGGTAAAGTGCCTGCCAGGAGCACGAAG